GTTTAGGGGTTTAGGGTTTCACTCGTCTAAGGCTTTAGGTTAAGGGTTTAGGGGTTTAGGGGTTTAGGGTTTCACTCGTCTAAGGGTTTAGGTTAAGGGTTTAGGGGTTTAGGGGTTTAGGGTTTCACTCGTCTAAGGGTTTAGGTTAAGGGTTTAGGGGTTTAGGGGTTTAGGGTTTTAGGGGAAGAGTACGGGTACCAATACCAATGGCACTAGCACGAACAGGCATGAGCACACTGGGGCAATAGAGCTTCGAGTATGAATGCCAGGTATCATGGTAGTACTGTACTGCCAAACGTCCTTGCTGCTAGTTTCCTCTAAAATCTGGCTGATTTGGGGTTCCTAAATCCTCAAATTTTGCACATGGACCATTAGGAAGCACTGTGAGGAAGCCCTGAACCCTAAGCCCCTAAACCCTAAATAGTAGTTTCCATTTTCTTTCATTATCCCTATATAACCCCTATATACCCCCCCCATAAAACCCTTTATGCTCCCACAATAAATGGCAATTACGTTGAGGGTTTTTGGGCGTAGGGGTTTGGAAGTTCAGGTGCTTCGGGTTGACGGGGTTTGGGGTTTAAGTTTAGGGTTTATAGGGTTTGGGGGACCCCCCAAAGTAGCCATGATTATTCTAAATACGGGTAAGTTCCAAACTCAGATGGGGTTCAGCTACTGCGGAATGTGCGCATGGAGTCCAGAGCTAGTAAATGCCAGCATATCTGAACAGAAAAAAGAATCGAAACTACTATATTATTGGCGGCTACATGAGCCCTGGACTCAATTTGAAGTATATCCCTCAATAGGTCCCCCCCAAAACCCTATATAGTCCCCAATAGGTCGCCCCCAACCTAAACCCTAAACCCTAAACCCTAGACCCTAAACCCTAAACCCTAGTTAGTCCGTAGCTCACACGGGGTTCATTACAGGTATTCACTCCACAAGTCCTGACTAAAACACACAAAGGATGCCTCAGTGGCGCTTAGGATTCAGGGTTTAGGTGTAAGGTATTTATTGGGGTATAATATGGAAAATAAAATGGAAATTACTATAGTATCATAGGTTAGATATTGGGGTATAATATGGAAAATAAAATGGAAACTACTATAGTATTACAGGTTATATATTGGTGTATAATATGGAAAATAAAATGGAAACTACGATAGCATTATAGGCTAGATATTGGTGTATAACATGAAACATCAAGATGGAAACTACTATAGGGAGCCTGTTGGGCCCCAACATCTTCTACTTGAAGGGAGGCCGGGTCGTCCGCAACTTGTTTGGTTGGTTGACGCCTCAGCCCCGGCGTGGTGCCTTCAGAATCCCCAAACCCTATAGTACAGTGGATTCCGTGTTGTTTTCCAAACTTTAAATCCTCCAGGGTAGGTTCCATGTTCTTCTCTTCTCCACTCCTTAAGCTCACAAAAACCACTTGATTGAATCATCCTAAAACCTAGGCCCTAGATCCTAGATTGAACCTCACTAACCCTAAATTGAACATCCTGAACCCTAAACCCCGAGCCCTAAATCGAACCCTCCTAAACCCTAACCCGAAACCATTCGCCCTCTAATTTGATAGTAGGACCTTGGGTGACACCAAAGCATCTCAGAAAGCTGAGATACCGAAGCAGAGCAGGCTAAAAGGGCTTTGTAGGACCCAAAGGGTTTCATAGGGCTGCATTGTCGTATCCTAAGGTTAAAGGGCCCAAATCTTTTCGTAGGGCTACATAGTATCCCAGGGTTAGATAAGGATATCTAGGGATCTCTGAGTTTGTAGTGGGGTTTTACGGTATACATGATAAGGTTGTATAGTTTCTTGGGAACCACCATATAATCGCGGGACCATCCTGGACGACTCCCTCATCCATCTGAAGGTCTCATAATCAGAGAGATCTAACCAAACCCCGAACCCAAAGCCTTAAACCCTCAACCCCAAACCCTAAGCCTTAAACCCTGAACCCTAAGCCTTAAAACCCTGAACCCTAAACCCTGAACCCTAAACCCTAGGGGTCCCTCGACATGGGGTCCCTGTAGGATCCGCTCTCATCGGCGGTTCTGAGTCACAGGCCGAATTCACCACGCAATCCGTCTCTTCGCCTCAGCAGGTTTAGGGTTTAGGGTTTAGGGTTTAGGGTTTAGGGTTGAGGGTTTAGGGTTTAGGGTTTAGGGTTTAGGGTCAGCAAGCACTCAAAATCTCTTTGACAGGCTTCCCACAACTACCGAACCTTGCTTCAAGAGGTTTCTGGGAGGGTATATAGGGCTATATAGAGATTTACAGGGAATTAAAGCAGGTGACGCAGAAGAAAATGTCAATTTACGTGCTATTTAGCAGTAAGGTTGTGGGAAGCTGGGTGGCTGAGCCAAGTATAACTGCATTCCTCCTCTGAAAGACTATACCTTACAGCAGATCAATCTTACGCTACTACATTGCGGATTATAGTATTCTGAGACAAGATACTACATAACCCCGAGAAGAACCCCGCCCTTCCATTGAAATTTTCATCTGACTTTCTATTTCCATGTCATTCTCCATTGCGATGCAAAGTGGTTTTTGTAGCTTTTTGAGGATGTCTGGTCCTAGGGTAGGCCTTGGATTTTGCGGACGGAACCACTGAAAAAGCACCCTCATCTATGCCATATAATGTGCCGGGGTCTGATGAAATGACTAGAAGAAGGTTTTGCAACAGACTTTATGGAGTTTCACAGCTTGAACTAGACAATCTGCAGTACTGAATGAACCCCAAGAGCTTGGACAACCTCTGCAGCGAAGAGATGGCCATTTCACACACGAGTAATGTTTTTTTGGTGGTTGAACCTAGTAAGATTATATTCCATATATAAAATACTATACCCCAAAAGGAGGATATGATCTTACTGTATATTGGGTACCATAGTATCCCCAAATAAAATACTATTCACATGGGGGCCCAAATGACATGCCACCATGTGGTGGCTCTTTTGTCAAACACACACGTAAAGAGCACCTCAACCTTTAGAAAATCTCGTGTAGGGCCACAGCTGTCGTGTTTCTCCAGCTTCCCCTGCTCCATCTTAGTTGCATGTCAGCAGTCACATGGCTCGGGGACACCTTGTGTGCCGAACATCTCGGGATTCACAGTAGCTCTCTCTTCTATGAGCTATGAGCTATAGTCTAAAGTCCTAGTATCCCCCTTTATCACCCCTATCGTAATCCTATAAACTAACCTACATAGACCCCCTAAAGGAGTTTAGAATATCAGTAGCAAGGCCTATCAGGTCTGATGTAGCTTTCTGCTGCAGACGGATAGACTTCTTGGGGGCAGGGAGATGATGTAAGGCCCGGTGATGGATGAACCTGGGAGCAGGAAGGCCTTCACACTTGAATGGTTCCCGGACACTCTAAACGAGATGGCGAGAAGCACTGCTTCTGCTACGATTCTGGCTGCTATGAAGGTTAGTGCTACTCCAAAACTGCCCTTGTGAGTCTCACTACGAGCACACATCGCAATCACTGCTTCTGGGCTCAGAACGGTTCAGGGTTCAGGGCAGCACCTTAGGGAAGGGTTTAGGGGTGAGGACCGGTTAGAGTTCAGGGTCTAGCGCTTGGCGCCACTCAGCTGCCCGTGCAGCTTCCGCCAACACTCTGAGAGCCCGACGATGTCCTGCAGTTCCTTCCAGCATGTCCAAACTTTCATGGGATCCCCAGCTACCGCTCCCTATACTACCCCCACCCCCTCCCCCTACCTAAGCTATTTTGGGCACATGCAACTAAGTACAGAGGAAGAAGGGAGATAAATGTTTCAGGGTATACGGCAAACCCATGAAAATGCAAGCTTGCTTGATAAGGGGCTCATCTCGACGCACCCATGTCTCAAAAACGAGGCTGCCATACAGAACTTTTCTTTCAAGGTCTCCCGAATGCCAGGCAAACTGGAGACGCCCCCCCACAAAAGAGGAGACCCACTTAGCATTGTTTCTTTCAAAGAGTGGCGGAAAATTGGAAATGGATCGGGCTCGGGCAGAAGAAATGAACTGAGCCCCGGTACTGTAGAAGCCTAAAGACTTACCAGCCTGATTTTGAGAGATCTAGTTGTAACCTAATCGTAGTACCAGTTGTGCAAGCAAAAGGAAATCCAGTCTAGTCGGGATATCTCGGGCCGGAAAAATACATTATTGCCACCCCTTTATTATATGCCGATGGACCTTAGGTAGACCGTATCGGGCTCCAAACTTGTTAGAAAGCAAATTTGATTGTCCGGGATGTTTCCGGTCCAGCAACAAAACTCTATTGTCAACCCCTTTAATTATTAATGCTATTGTAACATTAGGGGTTAAATGATTAATAAACCCCTCCTTTCAATGGCCTTAATCTTAAGATCCCTATTATAATCCCTATTAAGGGGAGGGGGTTTATTAATCACGGGTCTGGGTTAGGGTTTAGGAGCGCTCTCTGCAGATTCTAGTTCCAGTTTATTCTGCGGCCATAAGTCCAGACGGGACTCCAGCTGAAATCCTCAACCCTCAGCCCTTTAACCACGTGCATCATTTGTTAGTGCTACACTATATTGCTAGTAATACTGCTACTTTTGCTACGATTATTAGAAATCTGTGGAAGATGATCGCCCAAGATCCGAGCCCTAAACCCTAAACCCTAGACCCTTTAGTGCGGAATGCCTGGATGATGGTAGGGAGGGAGTGCCCGATTTCCTGCGCAACAGCTTAGGTTGAGGTGCCTAATCAATCTACCAAACTATAATCCCTAAACCTACCACCATGGGCTATTACACCCTAAGATTCCCTATTCGGGCCCTATTAAGGGTAGATTAAGGTATCCTTAAGGTCTAATAGCCCATAGTGGTAAGTCCCTAAAACTTAAAACCTAGGCACTGAAATACAGATTTCCCAGACATCAGGGCTCTTTGGTGACCCAGGCCTACGTTACATCGGAACATAACAGCTAGGGTGGGATACAATAGGATGCGAGCAGGAGCATCAAGGAATCATATGACAGCAAGTGTTCAGTCTTCTATATGATTTTGTTGCGTTTGTTACAGGAGGTAATGGAAGCTAGGACCATATATTGGACATGATTTAGGCCCTGCTATTGGAGCATTTGGGAGCATTCTGATGATTGGAGTGCCCCTGGTAGACAGTACACTATCGACTGAACACAAAAATGGGGGATTCAAAAAACAGAAGGGGCCCCCTTGCATTATACAGGCATGAGCAAATATGCTGACAGAGATATTCATACCACTGGCAACCTCCCTACCACGCAAGTAGGGATCCGGTCCCTAGTCGCACAATTTAGCCCTTGGAACGAATCAACATTGCCAACCTTTGGCGCAAAGTCATGAAATCTGGCACCGTCCCAGGCTGAAAAATAGTATTGCTCGCAGCTCGCATTACTGCTATAATATTTACTACTGTGATAACATTTCCTTTTATTCTTATTCTCACTATTGCAGTCTGTATGATTGCGAGTACTATACTTCCTCATTATTGCTGCTAGTATTAACTGTTCGGGTTTGAGGATTACGTTTTGAATAATGAAGGCGGATTTAAGAAGCTTGCCAGTAGAGTAGAATAGTCCCAGAAAAAGCACCCCTGCTGCCATCTCTTGACATCGTGGCACTGCCACACACCAGACAGGATACAGGTCGTTCACACCTAGTTGTAGGACACTGGAGAGCTGTGGGCAAGATTACAACCGTGCAGCTCTCTATCGGTGTAGCAGCAATGGAAGCGGCGCGAAAGCAACTACCTGCCCTCACTACACTGTTACCAACCCTTGCGCAACCTCGGCCAAAACCTTTTAAATCTGCCTCTCTTCCCTCCCCATCGCGCAGATGACAACAGCGGACAGTGGCCTCGCGAAAAGCCGCTGCCAAGTGGTGACCTCCGAAAGAGAACCTCAGTCTGTAAGATTCAAGGCTCAAAGTTGCATTGCAATTCCCCTAAGGGTCCAAGGACCCAAATAGTCGGGTTTTAGGGCTCAAATACTATAATATGAATGGTATTTGGGTCCCAAAACCCTATTATTTGTGTCCTTGGACCCTTAGGGATTCTAGACTGTTCAGAATGAAGTCCCCCAACAGACTCCCTCAAGTCACAATTTCGTGGGTCGGGGCGTGAAGCCCGCAAAGACCCCTCCCTCTTCTTGGGTTTAGTCTCTTGGTTTTGCAAGGGGATCCTTGAATTTGTAGCCCTGCGGCCTATGGACCAAACAGATGAGAACCCCTGAAGCTTCCCTGAGAATTCTGTGATGTGTGATATTCAGGCTGTCTTTGGTAGAAGTCTTAGACATCTCCTACATACTAGTTTCCCTGGATAGGTAACACAAATATAAACACCCAAATACTAGAATCGTTGTTCTGGGGACCCCCCAAAATGGCACCCCTAATTTTGGGAAAGCCCTGAATACACACTGAATGCTCAAAGTCTACTAAGATAATGTCGACCCCTGAGTAATAAACCCCCTCCCCTTAATTGGGATTATAATAGGGATCCTAATATTGATGCCTCTAAAAGGAGGGGATGTATTTAATCATGGGAACCCTAAAACTCAATCGTGGGTCTACTAAGAGACCGGAGATCCAGAACTACAAGGCCCGCCAATCACCTTGAACAGGAAAAGGGAGGCGCCAAGAACCATATGAGCTAGAGTCTAAGCTCCTTAAAGGGAGCTATATAGAGGATTACATAACCCCTTTATTGAGGGTTTGGGGTTTAGGGTCTAGTAAGATCGGATTTTAGGGTCTAAACTCCTTAAGGGGGGGTATATAGGGATTGTATATAGGGGACTAGTAAAGGGGTTATGAAGGGGGATGCTAGGAGTTTAGACTATAGCTCATTTAGCCCCCCAAAAATGGAACCCTGCCCCTTGTACGGGATCCCAGCAGGGAAGAACCGAAATGAAAACCCGAAACTCTAAGCCAAGCAGTATGATAAAGGGACTCTACTGGGAACCCCAAACCGGGAACCCCAAGAATATAGTAGGTATATAATAGGAATATACCTACCAGGGTCCTTATATTCTATTCTATTCCTGCAATATTCTTGGGATTCCCTAATTGGGGTTCCCAGTAGAGTCTCTTTATATGACACTCTGATCCCTATCCACCCGCGGCCACAAAAAATCAGGGACCGGACTGCCTGAGGGCAAACATGATCCTGGCCCTGGGAGGTGTTTGGGCTTGGGGATTCCCCAGGGTTGAAAGCTTTACTTGCCGGTTCTTAGTAGAGCATATAGGGGTTATATGGGGATAATGGAAAAGAAAATGGAAACTACTATAGTATATTGGGGTAATATTGGGATATATTCCAATTATATTGGGATAGTGGAAAGAAAATGGAAGCTACTATAGTGGCAAACTCTTATATAGGGATTATATTCCCGTATTCCCTACGAGGAAGCCGGAAGCTCAGGGCCCAGGGTGCAACGACACGGGTTGGGGCTGTTAGCTTTAAGGGTTTCGGCATGACACTCAGGTCTCGAAGGCTTAGAGTGGAGCAGGGTTCTTGCGCAAACGGTAAACCCTAAAAAAAATGCGCCTCGCGAGGCCCCAACCTTCACATAACCCTATACCTTAAATCCTAGACCCTAAACCCTATAAACACTAAACCCTGAAACAAAACACTAAACCGTAAACCCTTCACCCTAAACACTAAACCCTAAACCCTAGGTTTAAGGTTCAGGCTGCTATGGCCCTCTTGCAAACTGAGCTTTCCAAACTTTTGGAGTGCGTATGGCTTTCTGCTTCCGGATCCCGATCTACTGGAGGCCAGTGTGAACTCCAAGCTAACCCAAAAAGACTTACATAGGCCTACGGGTACGACTTCACAGTATTACTTTGAGGGATCCTGGGGCAAGCGGCTAGGTGATACTAATTTAGTATATATATATATATGTATATGCTTTACTGTAGTTTTCTTGGAGTATAATATATTTGTATATATAGCAAAGCCCTCCTGACACTCCGGAAAACAATACAGATAATCAGATGCGTGTCGGACTAAATCTCTTGCATAACGAAGATACCATGGGACAAGGGGTTGGCCCCTAATGCGAGTTTCAGGGGTATCAGTTGAGGGTTGGCCCCTATCAGTTTTGGTCAGTAATGTACAGCTTTGACTGGGACTGGGTTGCTGTTAAGGAGCTTAAGTTAAGTTACTATTCTGGGAAACCGAATTAATTACAATAGATACCCAGTATGGTAACTTAGCTTAAGTTCCTTGACAGCAACCCAAATTGAACCTCATGACCAGCCTAGACATGTTGCCTCTTCCATAGATTTAGTCCGACGCTCATATGGAGGGTTGGATTGTCACGGTCCCTATCGAATCAGGGTACCTGAAATATTATGGGCCGTGTTAGGATGGGGAAGCCCTGTCTCCTCGACCCCTCGACGTGTCACTTACTGGTGCTGAAAGAGAGAGGGAGAATGAATGCCCATAACTACTATGATATAATCCCCATACATACCCTAATAATCCCTAGTATGAGACCTATGTTTGCTCCCTCACCCCACCTAAGAACCCGTAAGATCATCGGCCGCTCGCTCCTGAGTCTGCCCCCCTCGGGCGCATTCATGTGCAGCTGGAGCAAGCGCTCGACCACCCTGGAGCCAGCCAGGTTAAAGGGTTATCTAGGGCTTATATAGGGATTATATAATGGCTATGTAGGGATAATGGAGAAGAAAATGGAAACTCCTATTTAGGGTTTAGGGTTTAGGGTTTAGGGGTTATAGTCCCCCTTTAAGTAGATAGAATATGGGTGGTTATATTGGGATAACGGAAAAGAAAATGGAAACTACTATTTAGGGTTTAGGGTTTAGGGATAGAGTCTGTGGTATATGGGGATCTTATCATAATATACCCAAAGCCATATTCTGTCTACTTCAGGGGACTATAAGGTTTAAGGTACTAAGAATCACTGCTCACTGGGCGCCTTGTAATCTCCATTGGAATAAGTACTCTAGAAACCCCTGGCACCTGGCCGCTCAAATTTTCAACCATATCATTATATGAACCCACATATCCGGAAGTCCCAAAAAACGTAGAATGATCACGACTTTGGCTCCTTTTAGGAGTTTTGGGCCACCTTTTAGCCTGCTTTGGAGGTCCAAAGTAGTCAGAAGCATGGTGACAACAGGAAACAAGAATCATATGGTGGATGGAGGAAATCTTGCGCCACTTGGGATCCCCAATATGTCATCATCCCGAAAGTGTAAGGCAGACTGGGCTGGCAAAAAAATGTATGTGTCTTTTTTTGCTTTGGAATTTGCAATGGTAACAGTAACAGCAGTTGTAAGTTTCAGGGGGTGCGGACTGACGTTTCAAGGTTGTTGAAGTTGTTGTAAATACACTGCTTGACCCTAAACCCAAAATCCTAAACGGGCCTTCTGCCATCAAACCCTGAGCCCCATATAACCCCTATATACACATTACATAACCCCCATATAACCCCTTGAAAGGTACCCTGAACCCATCTGGGCGGCAGGCTTCTGCTCTGACAGGCTGACCCAAATGTCCTGGAATGGATGTGGCTTGGAGTGTGTAGTGTTTGGGGTGTGGGGTTTAGGGTAGGGAACCGGCATTGGAGTTGTTTTCCATCTCACTTGCATAGAGATTATGGGCTTATATCGTGAAACCCTACTCTGAGACCATCCACCATACTAGCTCACCTGAGCTATAGTCTAAACGCCTTAAAGGCGGGCTATGGGATTATATATGGGACTAGTACAGGAGTTAATAAAGGGGATACTAGGCGTTTAGACTATAGCTCATGTGAGCCTTTGAAGATTCAGGATGCCAACATCAAACCTCTGGAGAGCGTTAGTATGCAGAATAGGTGAGATTGGGGCATATGGCTAGGTTCTAGCTATGCCTGACGCAAGGAGATTCCCGGCGTGACAGAGGGCCTGCAAGAAGATCTCACAACATACCTGTTGATATCACTATGCCTTTCATGAGCGTCTTGCTGCTATCTTCCCAGAACCTACCTACCAAAACCTACCTACATGCGCTTTTCAAGGGTCTCAAATCAGCTGCCATGAAAACTCCTTTGCATCAACTCAGAAGCACCAACAACAGCACGCATTTGTGTGCACCATTTTGCCCACGCTTCAGGATCATTGTTCCGACGGTTTTCTTGATGACACGCTTCCGGGCTCAGGGTTTCGGGTTACTCCTTTTTTGGGGCTACTCCTTCTGAACCGTAAAGGTTCCTACTAGCACATGAAATCTGATGGGGAACTGCCCAGAATTCATGGGTAGTTTTTAAACCAAAGTTGCAACTTGAGTAGCATAGCGATAGCCGTAGAACTACCCATATACTTTAGGAGAACCCCCCACCCTGTTATAGTGGTATAATAGGAATATAAGAGGACCCTAATACAGTTACTACCATCCCATATAGTCACTATTCCAGGGAAGGGGGACCTCCTAAGATATACTCCTGTGCATGCCGTAGGGGTCCTAGGTCTTGAACTAATGAAAACCTAAAACCCCTGGTGATCATGATAATAATACTGGTAGTAAATGATAATAACTGTGGTGATAGTAGTCACAACTATGAGAAAAGTACTGTTGTAATAAGAACATTCAAAGTAAAAATCAGGAAGAATAGTAACCAGAGGATATAGTCCCCCTTAAGTAGAATATGGCTTTGGGTATATTATAATAAGATCCCCATATTCTATCTACTTAAGGACTATAAACCCTAAACCCTAAACCCTAAATAGTAGTTTCCATTTTCTTTTCCATTATCCCTATATAACCCCTATAATCAGGGGGGCGATAATGATAAGAATGATAAACATCGTACGCGTTGTTCCAACAGCATCCGCCGCATCCTCGTCGTTGCACAGCTGCCCAATGGTGGAGGCAAGCTCCTCGAGGTTCGGGGTTTGGGGGTTTAGGGTTTTAAGGTTCAGGGTTTACCTAAACCCCAAAAGTATGTAAAATAATGGCCTTTAAGGCTATTATTATGGGTTTAGGGCCAATATTCTACATATTTTGAGGGTTTAGGTAGGGTTAGGGGTTTTGGGTTAAGGGTTTTAAGGTTCAGGATGCAGGTTTAGGGTTCAGAGTTTAGGTTTTAAGGTTCGGGGCTTAGGGTTTAAAGGTCCAGGGTTTTCAGGATTCAGGGTTCAGAGGGTTTACCCTCCCGGAAACTAACATAGAAATCCAAAAAAGGTCCTATAAAGACTACAGTCCCTTTAAAGGGGGGCTATATGGGTTTCCATGTTAGTTTGGGGGAGTGTCATACCCTAGACCCCCAAACCCTAAACCCTAAACCCCTAAACCCTAACCTTGCACCACAGACTGGATTCAGGTTTAGGGCTCCTCGAGGAGCCTCCGCTTCCCTGCGTCCGGCGGAAGTATGCGCCTCGCGAGCGCATAGGGTGTTGGGGGGGGGTCGAATTCGGCACATAGGGTCTAGGAATCAAGTGAATATATAACCCTACATAAGCCTCTATAACCCTATATAACCCCCTACATATCCCCCTATATAATCCCCTATATAGCCCCTATATCGGGTGTAGGAATCAAGGGAATACAGAGTTCAGAAATGACAGTTCCGGGGTTGCGGTATTGCAGGGATATGTTTTGGGAATTGGGTTTAGGGTTTAGGGTTTCAGGGTTGAAGGGGTGGGTTTTGGCATGTGGGTATACGGTGAAGGCGGCGGGTTTGAGGGCCGCGGGCCTAGGAACTCAGGCTTCGGCCCGAAATTTGTGGGCTTGCACCAGCCCCTTGCCTAAGAATACCCACTCACTTACCCGCCAGAGAATCAATGTTCTCTGCCTTCTGTAGTGTTGTTAGGTTGTGGCGGGCGGACTAGCCGGGGAGAGCATTATCTTTAGCCCTAAACCCCTAAACCCTAACCACAAATCCCTAAACCCTAAACCCCTAAACCCTAACCACAAATCCCTAAACCCTAAACCCCTAAACCCTAACCACAAGTCCCTAAACCCTAAACCCTAACCCCTAGTTCCGGGTTAGGAACCTCCAGGCTTAGAATGCCAAGCTGCGGGCAAGGAATGAAGGCTGCGGGATCTAGGCTTCAAGATGCTTATGTTTTTAGAGTTCAGGGTCTGTATACAGGCTTTTGGGTTAGTGTTCAGGGCTTTAGATGTTCAGCTGCCCCAAGCCATTTAGACCCTGGTTTTTTCTCATATTGGGCCGTACTGTGATCTATACGAAACGTCCTCCTAACGGCGAAATGGTCTGCTGACTCTAGAGCAACTTCTCAGACGCCATGAACAATACAGTACCTTGCACACCACAAGACGAAACCTTATGCCAGACTGGAGCTCCCAAAAGTAAGCCAATTCCTAAAGAATCCCGAATTAACCTCTAAACCCTAAACCCTACTGAGACCTTCATAATCCCTTTGTTTTCCCCACATACCCCTAGCGTCCTCAGGAGCTCCACATTGTGTTGGTTCCCTCTACGTACCTTAATATCCTTATATATCCCCATAGCGCTATATACATCCCCTACATGAGGCCCCCGGGAAAGAAACTAAACCCTAAACTTAAACCCTAGACCCTAAAAACCTGAACCCTAAACCCCTAAACCCTAAACCCCTAAACCCCTTAACCCCTAACCCCTAACCCCTAAACCCTGAATTCCAAGCTGGGCACAGCAACTCCAAAAGTTCGCTGACGACTCCGGACTTCTTCAGCGCGAACCTATGTGCCGTGGACCTCGGCTCTGACACGTAGATTCAAATGATTAGGGTTTAGGGTTCAGGGTTTAGGGTTTAGTGTTCCAGGTTTAGGGTTTAGGGTTCAGGGTTGAGGGTTGAGGGTTCAGGGTTTAGGATTTAGGGTTTAGGGTTCAAGGTTTAGGGTTTAGGGTTCACGGTTCAGGGTTTAGGTTTCAGGGTTCAGGGTTTAGGGTTCAAGGTTTAGGGTTTCGGGTTTAGGGGTAATGGAAAAGAAAATGGAAACTACTATATTATAATCGGGTATAAACGGGTTATATAGGGATAATGGAAAAGAAAATGGAAACTACCATTTAAGGTTTAGGGTTTAGAGTCTAGGGTTTAGGGATAGTCAGGGCATAGCGGGTTTAGGGTTTCCCGAGATTAGGGGTACCCTTATAGGGTGTTATGGTGGTATACAGGGGTTATATAGGGGTTTATATAGGGATAATGAAAAAGAAGATGGAAACTGCTATTTGGGGTTTAGGGTTTAAACGTACCCTAGGGCTCCCAGTTACCTAAATAGTAGGTTACAAGGCTATGTAACTATAGGGTATACAGAACCCAGAACCCATGATTTATCTCCGAAAGCCATCAAATAGTCGAAAGGTACTTTTCTACATGCCTCTCGCGTCCAGGTCAGGGTTTACTGTAAGGTTTAAGGTTTAGGCCCGTAAACTATTAGGTGTACGACTAAGAAAACCCTGCAGGATCCGATAGACGTAGAGGGAGTATAGTCACCCTTGAGTAGATAGAATATGGGGTATACGGGGATCTTATCATAATATACCCGAAGCCATATTCTATCTACTCAATGGGAACTACAATCTGAACAAAGCTATTTGCTCCACCGAGCTGCTCGAAAACAGCTAAACATGCTCTGCACTGCATAGTCAAGGCCCGAAACCTAACCCTAAGCCCTGAACATGGAACATTTGAGCTATAGTCTAAGCTCCTAGTATCCCCTTTATTGTCCCCTATATAACCCCCTTTTAGGAGTTTAGACTGTAGCTCAATTGAATTTGGGAGTGTGGAGCAGTCTCTTATCAGGGACACAAATTGGGTTGAGGCTGCAAGTCAACGGCACAACAGTGATGGCCATGCCAGTCTTGCACTGGCAGTCGCGGTTTAGGGTTTGTTTAGGTTTGAGGGTTGAGGGTTGAGGGTTTAGGGATTTAGGGTTTAGTATTTAGGGGTTTAGGATTTAGGGGTTTAGGATTTAGGGGTTTAGAGTTTAGGGATTTAGGATTTAGGGGGTTTAGGACTTAGGGATTTAGAGCGTAGGGTTTAGGGCTACTGGAACGGAATTCATCAACACACTCGACGTAGACCTCCAGGCGAGAGAAGGGTCGAAACCTATAGACTACTGAAAGATCTGTTCAAGTCATAGTATAGTCTGTACATCGTACACTGAATCCGAGGCAAGCATATAGGTCATGGTCAGGATGACTTTAACGGGTTTTCTGAAAGTTCTGGGCCTCTTGTGGTTATGAATTATATTACGGCACCAAATATTTAGGGGTACCAAAAGGGACCCTAGTTTTGGGAACTCCCACATAAGACTCATTTAAGACTCGGTATCCAAGTCTCAGGATTTACAGAAGGCATTGCTTGGCATCCGGCTTCGTCAGGTGCGTTGTCAGCATGAGCGTGTAGTAGATCCTGAAGAACTACTTACTTGTGCTAGCAAGGAATGGAGGAACGTATCATATAGGGATTATATTAACATATTCCCTACTAAGAACCAATAAGACAATGGTTTGGCAGCTGTGGTTTAGCCCTATACCCTTAATTTCAGCCATCAACCGTAGTGTTTTCGAGTGCATCGGGCGTTTAGAGCTTGCAAAAGTCAACTGCTTCTTACTTGGTGGCATCTACAATATGAGGATTACACCATCCGAAGCCGGGAAAACGCTGCGTTCACATCTAAGCTCCTTTAACAACTCCTAGCCCAAAACCAATGGAGCCCATTGCCTCTTTCAAGGAATATGGGAAGGGGGGGGGGGTCCAAAAATTAGGAAAGGTATGGGGGTCCAGTAATGACGGGTAAAGTACTCTTCTGGGGTCTGCATTAGGCTCCCCCTATTTTGGGAAACTAACATATCCCTTAAGTCACGCCACTATCCCTATATAACCCTCTGCTCCCTATAGTTTCCATGTTCCTCCAACCCGAAGCTCTGGACTCCTTCAATCCAGGGCAGACCTGGAGTCAGGGTTTCTAGAATTTAGGGTTTAGGGTTTAGCGCTTAGAATCAGCCACCGGAATCTGCGGAACAAAGGCTGCATTTGATGTTGATTTCATCTCAGGGGACCGCCAGGCAAGCCATTTGCAAGTTCCCTTATAACCAGCTCAGCTAATCCTAAGAACTGAAGACAATGGAAATTAAAACGCCTTTGTCAGGATCTTTCTTCGTGCTTCTAAACCCTAAACCCAAACCCTAAACCCTAAACTCTATACCAGAACTGCATAGCACTCCCCTCCTATGAGTCAGGGAGTTGTCCTTTGTACCCTTAGGGTTTGTACCCTTGGGTTTGGGTCCCTAAACCATGGAATATAGCCCTTAGTGAGGGTATTTGGAACCCAAAACCTAGGATTACAAACATTAAGGGTACAGACCTAAAGGCTTTGAATGAGAGCTCAGTTCCACGCAGGTCGTCATCTTTGATGAGCAAGTTCTCCGCAATGAATGCAGGAGCCTCAGGTACAGGAACAGCTACACATCAAGAGCTCTCATCCGTAGACTCTAAACCATAAAAGCGGACCTAAGCCGCGCTGGTTCCTTGTCCGAGGTTTTGCAACTAGTACAGGCAGTAATTCGCTTGAGGAAAGAGTTGCTACGGCTGAGAGGCGCTACTATTTTTTAGGGTTTTGGGAACAACCCCTCCAAATTAAGATAAGGGTCTCAAACAGGCTCCTGAAATCTGGCAGGTATGGCTGGTGCCCTTAGTGTAGGATCCTTGTGTGAACTGTATGAAGCTGACGGAAAGCCGCAAAGAGAAAACGCGAATAAATGCAGTGGATGAGGAATACTGGTGGTCAGCATGCTCATGGAGCAGAGTGCCGATGCCAGTTGTGTTGCACGGCGCAGCCTCCTGGGATGTAGGCCACAGAAGTGTATTTGCTGTCAGACTATCAGGGGTTGTGCCGCAATCTGGCAGGTAGGAAAGCGCGCCGCAGAGGTCTTCCTGGTCCTGTGCTGGGTGAAACCAAGCGCTTGCAAAAGAGGCATGGCCAGTGATTAAGCAGAACCATTGTCTCAGCTGTCAACGCCGAAAGACTCATATCATCCATCGCTACACGTGAGATTTTGATGAGCAGAACCAAGGTCGCAGTACTGAAAAGCTCGCGCTTTGAAACGTCGAGATGCTCACGCTGCAGATGAAGAAGACCATGGACCATGTACGCTCTGTAGAAAAAACAAGCTGACATGAGTTTTGATGGCGGCACTTTATCGGGCTTACTCTCTGAGGGTTCATCTCCACAACAACCACCTTTCCACCTGCAGCTCTCCCACCAGAAGCACCCGCAACGCCTGCCTGATGCGGCTGAGTCTGCGGCACCCATGCTGAGGACCATATCCTTCACTGGCCTAGGGGCATCCGGGGGGCTCGGGGTCAGGTTTTGGTTTCATGCCGGGCTGTCACATACTTTTAAGTCCAGGCAGCAGGTGCCAGTTCACACCAGTTACAGCTGCTTTTCATGGTGCAAGTCAGCTGTGTTGCTTGCAGGTCGATCAAGAGCAAACTTGGTCTCCGCTGGTGTCACCCGAACACAACAGCACCTGCAACGAGACGGGAACCTTATCAAAAGGGCTTCCCACCCTGAAAGCCCAATGGAATTCAAAATACTTGGCTCTTGACATGGAGCACCTACGCTTGCTGCTACCCTAAGGGTCCAACTACCCAAAATAAGCGGCTTACATACCAAAATCCATTCAGATTTCAGGATTTGGGGCCCGAATCCCTGTTATTTTGGGTGCTTGAACCCTCATGATCGTATATATCCCCTTTGTAACCCCCATACGCCCCTATATAACCCCTAAATCCCCTTTAGGCCTAAACCCCAGACCCTACATGTATTTGGGCACTTGGACCCTCAGGGCTAATAGCCATCATCCGGAGGCTCCGGCTCATGCTGCCGCATCATGTTGACCAGCGTGACGGCCGCAAAGGTCTTCAAGTGAATGTTCCGCCTGTTTAGGGTTTAGGGTTTGCTTAAGAGGGTGATTTTAATACCCCAACCCCTCGATCAGGAACTTACCATAACGATATGATAGTTCTAGGGTCCTCATGGCAGCGGTCCGGGCAAAAAATGCCCTTATTATTGTTCTGGGGAGCCTATGTCCTGCGGGCTGGTGTGAACAGCTCAGGTTTGGGGGCTCAAGTGATAGGCTTCTCAGAGAGGCGCCCATACCAACGCTCCATGCAACTTTAGCTCTGAAAGTGGGGTTTAGGGACGTTTAGGGTTTAGGGTACAAAGATGACAGCGACATCGCTTCGAAGCTAAACCCTAAACCTGAGCCCGGTTTTGCCAAGGCTTGCGGATGTTTAAGATTCACAATCCAGGGCTTAGAAACCCCAGAAGGGCCCTGCAGGACCTCTCTTTTGCGGACTCCTAAACCCAGATAGAGATAAATACATAAATAAGTGTGTGTATGTATATATATTTATGTATATACATGGGTATGTGTCGTAGACATAATTTGTTGAAAGCCCCATCCCGTCCTGTTGTTGAAACAGACCTCCCATATGAAGCTCTAGGAACTGCACTATGTTAGCTGGGCGCAGCGCTGCTGCAGGGAGGAGAGGATTCCAGGCACCTCTCAAAATGTCAGCTGCTAAGTACCTACCTATTATATGGGGGGGTTTCCCAAAAGTAGGGGTTATCTTTTCACGGGCCCCCATTATAAGGATTGTAGTATTTTGGGGTCTATATTGGGGTCCCCCTATTTTGGGAAACCACCATATTTTTCTAAAAATTCAGAACCGTAAATTGAGGTACCTTGGGGGCATCCTCTATACAAGGCACCATTTAGGCTTGAGGTCGTTATAATTCTCCGATACTACGGAAGAGCTTAAGATTTCAGGTTTTGGATGTAAGGTTTAGGGTTTGGGTTTTACGATCCAAAGAGATTATCAGGAGATCCTACTCTGGGGGATACTACTCCCATCTAGGTTCCCCCTTAAAGTGATCTGGCGATAGGGCTAACTCACCACGCACTACGTAGCAGGTGCTAAGGAAACTCATCATCACAGAGCTCTCTCCTGCGCAAGTTTTAAGGGCTGATATGGGCTGATAAGTGTATAGGAGAATCTCAACTTGTGCAAGATATTCTTCATCCCGCGAAGCAGTGGTGTATGGTAGGTTGTCAAAATTGCGGTGCGGTGTTGGTCGCTATTATCATACAGCCCAAATAGTACGGCCTCAAGAAAGACCATGCTCATCTGGATTACGCCAGGGTTTTTCTGGACTACCTTCCTAAACCCTAAACCCTAAACCCTAAACCCTAACCACAGGGCGCAGCTTCATTTTGCAACTTTAGGATTAGGACGCATTAGGCATTTGATTCTCAATGAATGGGGTAAAGACCCCTACAATATCCCGCCTACAGGATCCTGTATGCCCCCCATATATCAGCACATAAGCCATGTTATGTCCTGGTTGTTTTGCTAGCTTGCCTTGGCTTGCTTACATTGTAGGTTCCTAACTTGAGTCCTAACAGCCCCCACGCGGTTTAGGGTTTAGGTATGGCCCCTACCTGCTTCCTGAGTCCTGACTGCGGGCCCGTCATCAGATTTGTAATGTATTATGTGGTGTATATAGCTAAATAATGACATCGGGACTGACTCAGTTTTCATACTAGGCCCATAGTGCCATAGTTCCAATGTTAGACACATGGAGGTTTTGTAGGCGAGCGCTTTCTGGAGGAGTCCCTTTATGAGGATTTCGGTATATCGGGGTCAAATTTGAGCTTCGACTTTTTAGAAACTACCGCTGTTGGGGGGCTTGGTTGGGGCCTGGCTGTGTCCCTAAATTCTGAACCGCGTAGCGAGGCGAAGGAAAAATGAAAGACCCAAAACCCTAAACCCTAACCCCTAGCTCGGCAGACTGCCGCAGAGGGAAGTTGCAGAAAGTCAGCAGTCAGCTGGAAAGCCGTGGCTTCTAGACTAATCCCCTCCCTAAAACTATCCCCCCCCCAATACTCAAATCCTGCAATATAGTACCAATATACACCAAGGAGGAAATGCATTATAGGGGGTGGGGGGGGGTTAAAAGGGGAAAATGATCAGAAGAAACTTGACGCATTGAGGACATTTTCATAACCCTCCAGAATCTCCTGTGATGCCCTAGATTTCCTGACTTCGGCGGCACCTCGAAAAGCATCCCTAACCTCGTAGAGCCCAACAACAAGACCTTGAAGCGCTAATTCTAGAACCCGAAACACTAAAGCCCCTGAAGCCCCCAAACCTCCAACTTCCATAACGCTAAACTTAAATCCTAAACCCTAAAACCTCAATCCCACACCCCAACTCCCGATCCCTACAGGCACTTGAAGCCTCACCTTTAGGTAGGGGATGCCCCGATATGCCTCTATATGACCCCTAAACTGAAGGCAACTCCAGGGCTCAAAGCCCTAAACCCTAAGGACTTTAGGAGGGACCCCCAATAGGGACCCTTGTAGCTTATGGGGGTTAATATGAGGACTTGACTATATAAGGGTTATATATGATAATGGGATTAAGGGTCCCTATTAGGGGTCCTTCCTAAAGTCCCTAGATAAACCCTAAACCCTAAAGCCCAAAGCCCTGAACCCGGAAGATTTGAGTCTGGGGCAAGGCTTCCCAGGTGCATGGGTCCAGAACCTTACATGGGCCATACTCGAAACTCATTAAAGGGGGGTTATATGGGGAATTATATAGGAGACTGCTATAGAGGTTATTAAGGGGGATACTAGGAGTTTAGACAATGGATCACTGCTTAAGATGAGGTTTTAGAGCGTTTGGGCGTCAGGCTTTTTAGGGTTCAAGGTCTTAGGGGCTTCAGGCTTTTAGGGTGTGAGGGTTCGATGACTTAGGATTTGGGGTTTGAGAGTTTCATTGTAGTGGCCTAGATAGACACCAGAATGATTTTGGTGTCTGCTTGGGGAAAACTATAACATTATTATGCAAGGAATGTGGGGCCACACTATTGGTAAGTATCCTGGCTCCTGCCGCATCCAAAGCTCAGGATCTAAAGTGAAAATATCAAGGTTACTGCCGCCCGCACGGGAAGCACGACATCTGTCCGTAATATTGAAAAACCCTTTTCACAATATGCAGAAAAGCCGAAAACCTTGAACCCTGAACCCCAACAGCAGGGCAGTGAGAGAAAGCTTGGAGGGCTTTGCTCCTCCGAGGGCTTTGAGAGGCTTGTTCTCTTCAGTCAAAAGGATCTCAGGGGGTTTTGCAAAGTTACAGGCTGGTCTTTCGAGTTCCCCCTGATGAGGATCCTATTACGTCTTGGCATGGCATGGCCTGTCTCTGCCAATGTCTGTTTAGGGTTTAGGGGTTTTTAAACTTTAGGGTTTTAGGGTTTAGGGTTTGGTCTTTAGGGTTTGGGGGGTTAAGGAGAGTTTTGGGGAAGGAAGGCTCGCGAGCGTTCTGAGGTACTTAGGATCTTTCTTGCAAGGACACAAAAAAATCGAGAAAAGGACACATGAGCTATAATCTAACCTCCTAGTATCCCCCTTAGTAAACTCTATACTACTCCGCGATATAATCCCCTATATAACCCCCTTGAAGGAGTTTAGTCTATAGCTCACATGAGCTGGGATAATGTTGACCCCTGATTAATAAACCTCCTCCCCTTAGCAGGGATGAGTAGGGATTATAAGAGGGAATAATGCAAAAGAAAACGGAAACTACTATAGTATACAGTGGTATTTAATAGTCATTAAAAACAAGGATCCTGATATTAAGGCCCTAAAGGAAGCGGTTTATTAGTCAAGGGTCTCCGAAACCCTAAACCCTGAATAGTAGTTTCCATTTTCTTTTCCATTATCCCTATAAAACCCCAATAGAACCCATATAGCCCCTATATGATTATAGTCATGGTCTACATTAGCTGAGTCCTCCGCAAGATGCGATGATCGTTCGGCAGATGGCCGTCTGCCAGTGGTTGGGTCTTCTGAGAGGCATCTGAGAGCTTCTCAAACTGCTAGGAGGGTAGGACTGCGTGTTAACGCTAATAGGGTGGTTCAGAAATGCCGTGCTCCGATTCGGGAATGCCTATAACAAGGATCACATTACATTGAAATGAAATCGATGTGAATGAAAATCCCCCCCAGGCCGTGAACTCACGCAAAAGTTTCGGCAGCACTGTCCAGGATGGCAGGCGCCAGCGCAACCAGAACGATGACGCAGTCATTGCAAAACAGTCTTAACGGCAATACCACACAGTACTGAATGTGGCGGTAATGACAGTGTTTGTGGTGATGATGATGATGATACTGGTAATGGTGATGATGGTGGTGATGATGATGGCGATGGTGCCACATTTAGTGGTTTGTGTCGTTCTGAAAAGGACCTTCGTGGTTTTCAAAAGCTCTATCAAGGTTCGGGGGACTGTAGAGCACAGTAATGGTCGACGTCTTTGCAGCGTCTTTGCAGCGCATCCTGCTTTGAAAGCCGGCATACTGTAGAAGCCTAAATAAGTGCCACTATGTCCCTTTCTAATCCCTATACATCCATAGTATAATTCATAGGCCGCCAAGAACCCTAAACCCTAAACCGTTTATACCCATAATATGTATGATTAATATAGACCCCCAAAAACCCTATGCTAACTAAATACTCCGTATATACACCCATAATTCATAGACCCACAAACCCTATTCTAACTCAATGGGCCCCTGTAGTACGCCTTCAGGTTGACAGAGGACATGGAGGACACCAACAGCTTGGCCAGAAACTGCGAGAACTCCCAACTCATCTTCTCCTCGCAGATAGGGTTTAGGGTTTAGGGTTTTGGGGGGGTTTGGGTTTAGGGTTTTGGGGGTTTTAGGGTTTAGGGTTTTGGGGGTTTTAGTGTTTAGGGTTGAGGATTTTTGTGGTTTAGGGTTTAGGGTTTTGGGGGTTTTAGGTTTAGGGTTCTGGTGGTTTTAGGGTTTAGGGTTGAGGATTTTGGTGGTTTAGGGTTTAGGGTTTTGGGGGGTTTTAGGTTTAGGGTTTTGGATTTTGGGGGGTTTAGGTTTAGGTTTTAGGGTTTAGGGTAGGGGTCATGTAAGAGCTATATAGGGGTTATATAAGGGGGTTATATAAGGGTTTATGTAGGGTTTGTATAGGGTACAAGGTTTAAGGTTTCCCACAATTAGGGGTACCTTCTTGGGGGCCCCAAAAGTAAGGATTATACAATATTGGAGTCTGCATGGGGATACCCCTATTTTGGGAAACTACCACTTAATTTATGTGGGAAACGGTCTACTTGAAGGTCAAGGGGCAGCTATGTGGTGTTGAAAGTAGAATGACTATACTGCTGATACAAGTTCAAGTACACCCGACATATAAGTACCCATGAACCTCCAAGTAGCCAGGCTGGAGATCAAATCCAACTCGAATGCTTCCTAAATTGTTACTGAGACCCGTGTTCAAGCAATGTTTCATCATACTGGATGATACGTCACTAGCTCGCGCGGATTGGGACTACACCTTCTGGCACCAAGCTTGATTTGCTCCGCCTCTGCCGCTGGCACCGTTACATGCAGGAGTACCGAAGCCTTCTTCATACATTGAGCATATATGTCATATTTGTTCGAGTCCCACCCAGGAGCTAAGCAGTTGAGCGTCCTCTTCCTTTCTTGGCGGCTTCAGCTGTTTCGCCAGCCAGCCATGCTCCAACAGCGCCCTGACTTCATGGGCTTTCGGCTCATGGTATAGGTTTTAGGGCTAAGGGTTCCATAGCCCATTCCTCCACCCCGAGGATGCAGAGGAGAATTCCTCCCACATAGCCCATCCTACCCTTCAAGCCTCCTTCCATGCTTACCATTCCGACTCATTTGACCTAAAACCCAACCAGTCATTTTTGAGAGGTGCTGGCACCGCCGCAAACTGCAAGCTCAGGCGCTGGCTGCATGGCCTGGGGCGCAGCACAGAAGAGGATGGATGTCAGAATCTGTTACAAACTAAATACTGGTTACAGGGATACGGGCACTTCGTTTGTGAGTCTACCAAGCCACCACAGGGAAACCCATATCCATCGGTAATTTCCGCTATGAACCCTCGTACAGTTTTGAAAATGGGCGCGTGCAAGATAAAATCACTTTGTTGGTTCCGCTGCTGGATTCAAGCGAGATGCTGCCGCCCGTAAGTCATGTGCTCAAGACATATAGTCCCCCTTATGTAGATAGAATATGAGGTAAATGGGGATCTTATTATAATATACCCAAAGCCATATTCTATGTACTTGAGGTGGACTATAGTCCCTTTTCTGAGAGTGCTACATCATGCAGGCGGTTGCTTGATCTAATGCCCGAATGTTCTGCAAAAAGATGGTTCCCTCCCTAGTGATGGCAGTAGGAACGCCGGAGCACAACTGTTCCCATGCATGTTAAGCAGACATGCCCCATGCCCATGTGCATTTACAAAAGAACATCTGTTAATACAAAACGGCGAGCAGAGTGCAGTGCCTCAAACCCTCATGACACACCTTGCATTGACTGAGGCAGCAACGTGATCGTTGAACTCGAAGTCGTCGAAGAAATCCTTAGCAACACTGTACCATGCACGCCTCCCAATAGAGGCCTTCAGGGTGTGGGCCCCCTTGACGTTCTCGAGAATAAGTATCACTGAATGTGCGAAGCACTGGTGAAAGTTGCATGCGACTCAACATCAGCATGCACTCTCCAACTCCAATCCAATATCATTATTATGCGTGTTGGTACTACTATTATTACTACTACTAATATTGTTCCTACTATTATTTTATTCTATATGGTTGCTTCCATAGATCAGGGGCGGGGGAGTACTAAACTTGAAGACCTCGATGTTCAAAGTTGGAACTCCCGCTGCAGTTAACTTGTATCTGGATGATTAATGGACATGGTTTCCTTATTCTGGACTATATTGCGGAATATACACCAAACTATAAGATGGACCGCTATGTCCACCGTGAATGGTCCCTTGGAATCCTTAATGCTTACACTAGCTGATATGTTACGAGGCAAGCCTAGTCAGAATGTGCACTGAACAACAAGACAATCCTAAGGCGACGCCTGAGAAACAGGTTCTAAATCAGCCTGAATCAGCACTTCATCAGAAATTTGATCCTTACAAAGTTCAGCTGGGCCCTGTTGGCCGTAGCAAGGCCTCAACAAGGTAAACTCCAACGAAAAAACACCCAATCCATTGCTGCGCAGAGGCAGAGCCAGTCGTTGCGGTCATGAGATAGGTAAACAAAGAACTTGTGTGATCAACATTTCGGCCCCTCAAGCCTAAGAACCCCTAAAAAACAAAAGCCAGAAACCCTAAAACTAAAAGCCAAAACCACAAAACGCCGGATACACCCCCACACTTTTGAGGAGCCAGAACCCCTAAACCCTAAACTGTAAACCCTAAACCCCGGATACCCCCCACTTTTGAGGAGCCAGCGGGATCCAGCATCAACTGCTTCAGGTCTCTCATCTCCCAAGGCCTTTCTGGGCTGCTGTCAAAGGACTTGACATGTCTTGGGGTTTTAGAGTTTGGGGTTTAGGGTTTGGTGGAGTGTAGGGTGAATAGCTTGGAGTTTAGGGTTTGGAGTTTAGGGCTTATAGTTGGGAGTTTTAGGCTTTATGGTTTGGGGTTTAGGGTGGAGGGTCTAGGGCTGAGAGTTTATCACGGACATGTGGTGATGAGCGCTGCTTTTTCTTCTGCATAGCAACTTACCACATGCAAAAACTCATAATTCGCTCAGGCATGCACCCCGGTTTTGTTCTTCCCAAGTAAGGTTTTTGCCAGGCTAGGCACATTCTCTACTTGTTGCTGAACAAGGGCTTTTGGCAATGGATTCCTGCGCGGTCCCTGTATACCCCCCAGTGAAATTGTACATCTGATCCAATGCTCTGCTCCTTGAACCCTCAACCCTGAACCCTAGACCCTACACCCTAGACCCTAAACCCTGAACCCTAAACCCCAAACCCTAAACCCCAACTCCAAATCCCTACACCCCCTGAAGCCCCACCTTGCGCTTTGGGTAGGGGATGCCTAGGCTTTTGAAGTTAGATTGGTTCCCAGACCCCTGGGAGGATCTAAAAATTAGATCCCCTATATAGACTCATTATAACACCCCGTCAGTTCAGGGGGGTACTTTCCCCAGCACGGCAATTCAGACCTTTTTGGTGGGTCTGGAATACTGTAGCCCTAGCTATTTTCCCTATGCGCGAACTTGCAAT